GAATTCCACTAGTAGTTTTTCCTTTTATTAGTTAACTTTATCTGAAAAATGTTTTTATTACTTTTTTGCACTTTTCCAGATGTTCGTATGGAATAATAATGGCTGAAGAAATCCATACCAACCGGTCATTTTTAAACAAAAGCAAATTCTTATTTCATTATGTGAAAGCCGTCACCATCTACTTTATTTTAATATTAAAAATTATTTATGTTCTTTTCAAAAAGTTTTGCAGCACATAATTTATTCAAAACGAGTCCCAAAATATTTGAATTTCACTATAGTAAACCCAGACATCTTTTCAAATATTAACAAGAGTTTCCAATCGTACGAAATAAAACTTGTAACGTTTCTCTATCAAACAAAAACATAACCTTGAAGTTTGGTTAAGAAATGGCGGAGATATTAAAAAAATTTTTCTCGCCGGACTTTTGGGACACCCTGTATATTACTATGTTACATCGTCTTAGATTGTTCTGAAATACCGTGTTATGTTATAATATTCAGGAATGTTCCCTTATCTTATTAGGTCTTCATAATCTAATAGCCATATTTTCCTAAGCAAACATATTTTCAAGGTTTTTCTGTAAACTAGGTTTCCTGTGAAGATTTTTCAACTTCTTCAGTTTAATCACTTAGGCATGGCATTCGATTTCCTGGAAGCCCCAATACTGGTATCTGATCCCTATTGGTGGTTTCGAAAAGAGATGGTTCACAGGTAATCGGTCATGCCGCATCGTGTGGTCATGTTTGCGTTTACAGAAACATTTCCCTGATGAAAACTTAGTTTTACGAAAAATGTCGATTTTACCAGTTTTCACCAAAAGCTAAACATATCATATTTTATTAAAAACTATTCAAAATCACATTTTAAAAAAGTTGTGTTACCAGGTGTGTAAAATAGCATAAACAATCGCTCGGCATCGAAAAGTGTGTACTTTTCTTGACGGTCAATGCCAGTGTGTTAAAACTTTTTAGTATTTTTCATTTTCCTCGATAGGTAAAAGAAACGGGTGATAGCACTTTCGTCACGTTAATTTTCATCACATAGAAAAAAGAACTTTCGTCATACGTAACGAAAGTGTATGGCATTTTTGGGGGAGTGTGGGGGGGGGGGGGGGGGGGGGGGGGGGGGGGGGGGGGGGGGGGGGGGGGGGGGGGGGGGGGGGGGGGCCCGGGNATTTTTAATATTTAGCTCTGTGCGGGGGTTTTTTTAAAATCTTAAATTTTGGGGGGGGTCCCCCCCCCCCCCCCCCCCCGCCCTCGCTTTGATCGCAAGAGTAGTAAACTTTCGTAACCAACAACTGCGTAACATACCTACCACTATTGTCACACCCCATCTCGAACTTTTGTTACACTAATAACATAACGGCAAATAACTCATTATAACGTGTGATGACAGTTGATGCACAGCAACGCTTTATATTTCCGTTTTTCTCATGTTTATATATTGTTGTTATTGACTGTAAAAGAACTACTTGCATTTTGACTGCTGCAGTGTGGACCACGTCAGACCGAACTACTCTCTAAAAAAAAAAAGGTATTTTAAAATACGGAAAATGGTACCATATCATAATGAACCATATCATAACTGTTTAAACGTTTTTTACGTTTATCAGAAAACTCTTTTGGGATTTCCGGAATACGAAAAAGCCGTAATTTAAAAAACCCTGAATTGGTTTGGTATTTTAAAATACCTGAAGGTTTTTTTTTAAAGAAACCTAATAATAATTAGTTAATAATTAGTACCTAACGATAATTAGTTTTTTGATACGAAGAAGAAACCTTTAAACAGTTATGATATAGTTCAAATGGTTATACCCCTTAAACGTTTTTCACGGGTGATTATATCTTTTTTTTAGTTTTTCTCAAATGGAAAATACTTTTTAGGGTTTTTTAAAAATACCGGTTTTTTCAGAGTGTACTCCCAAACGCACTAGACTCGTGATTTGATACTGTGACTTTAGAAAAAGACTTCAAAAGGCTTTTACGCGTTTCGCTAAGAAAATGCAATGTTTGTAAAGAAAAAAGCAGGAAGTTATTACTCCAATGTACATTGCTACAGTTTGCATTACTGCACTTTGGACTACTCCAGTTTGCACTACAAGACTTTGGACTAATGAACTTTGCACTAAACCTTGATTTCATCGCAGTCGTTTCATGTAACGTGTGACGATAGTATAGATCTGTCTAAAAAGCCAGACACTTTCGTAACAAAAGGGGTTAACTTTCATGACCACTGTGTCAACATAGTTAAACTTTCGTCACATGCCCAAAGAATTTTTGTCACTGGGAAACAGAACTTTCGTCATGCGACGAAAGTTCACCGTCACATGGTGACGAAAGTGCTGTGAAACAAAGAAACCCATCGCTATATATGAGATTCGAATAATCGATCAATGAATCTGAAGCATTTTCAGTATAGACGGTTGACACAATCAGACTGTATGATTGGTCTCGGTGTTTTAAGCTATATGGTCACTTCTCCGTGTGTATTTTACACACATACATCATACATTCTAGACGGTCATTGAGAATTGATAGGCGTTCACTTCCCGTGTGCCATTTATACAAGGTTTTTTACAGTGCACTACTTTTATTGTAGATACATGGTTCTACAACTTCGAAAATGAAATAACTAAATATTTATTAATGAAATTTTCTGATAAACCATATCAAAATTCAATACAAGCTCAACGATGTTTTTCATTTTTCAGTTGTAGAATCATGTTCAAGATAATAAACAGATTTTCGAGCTATTATGTAGTTTTTCAAAGATTTCACAGAAAACCTGGTTAACAGAAAATATTTTGAAAACATTTTTGCCTAGATCTCTTTTTTTGGTTGGTAAAAATCACAGATCTCTATAAGCTCTTGTTCTGGAATTATTCAAAAAATGGCTAACTACATCAGCTTTTTAAGCATAATATTTGAGGTGAGTGTAGCCGAATGCAGGTCGACAAGTTGAAAAATGAAAAACTAATGAGTTTTCTAGGTGACAAAATCCAGTGCTAATACGACACAAATTTTTCATTTTCAAAATTCGTTTGATTTTGAAAAAATATTTTTAGAGAAAACATACCCAAAGAAACTCTTGATAATTTAGTTTCTACTCTTCTAAATACCAAAAAGACTATTGAAAATCGTCGACTCTTTCGAGTTAATAGTAAAAATCGTGTTACCTTTCTCACAAAGGTCTAAATTTGTCCAAAGATGAATGTCAACTCTTCATCTTCCTTCACTTCTGATTCTCCATGTTGGATATTTAATATTTTGCATGTTTAGAAAAGCGAAACAGTGACCTATCTTTCTTAATTTTAAACAATAAGTTCTACAGCTGTGCAAAAACACATACCATACGTAAGCTAACGTAATTTATGTTTTTTACTATTTTCCTTTTTTTATTAAACAGAATGGACTATGGACTAAGTTTTATTATATAATATTCTTCTTTCTCTTTTTAAACACAATAACAGTGTGATTCTTATCTGTAAAGTACTTGTATAGAGTCCTTGCTTCTATCTCTTTATTATTATAATATACACACTCTTTTAAATAATAGAGAAAAAAAATGACTTTCTACTCGTATTTATCAATATTATTACTCTTAATTTTTCGATTGAATAATTTTGCTAATGGTTTCCAGTGTTACAGCTGTTCATGCGCAGATTCAAATAATTGTCCTTGTGATGTGATAGTGGACCAAACGGATAACTACTGCGCAATCGTTCGTCGGCAGACCAGTAGTAATAGTATTCAAATTACACTTGAACCCCATGGAAGAAATTCTACGGCCTTCTATGTCAAAGATCCTTATTTCATTTCCATTCGTGAATCTATGTCATACGACAGCGATACAGAAAAGTGGAATGTACTGCCAGAGCAAATCACCTATGGCTGCAATTGGAACAGATGCAATGATCCCAAACTCGTTCCAAAACTACCGGAGAGTTTTTTAATTCAATTACCTACTGATTGGTTAAGCATAAATCTTCTTCCAAATGGCACTGCTGGAAATCCATCTACATGTCACAATTGTCCAGATGCACCACAGTGTGGTGACACAGATTTTTTTGATATATCACGATGCCCAGAAATAGCTTGTAATGGATCATGTGTAATGGAGGACAAATTCGATGATCCCGAGAGTATTCCACTCCAATTTTGCTATCAATCGATATGCGACACATCGCCAGTAACTGACAACCGCCAACTTGTAATTGGTAGTATCTACTATTTGGAACCGCGAGAATTAAATATTTTGGAGATGCAGGTGTCCTGTCGTGCAGATGATTGTAGTCGTCCGGAAATATTTCAAGACATTCGACAAAAGATGACAGAAAAACTTGATTTGGACGCTTTTTTAAATCAACGACCGGTCGGTGGAGCAGTGCAAATGACATACAATTATTTACTAATACTATCCATGTCCGCCTATTTCATGGTTAAATTTTATTAATAGATTATTTATATTACTTGTTAAAATTAAGCTGCTAAAATGTTTTTTTACGATTTACAAGTAGTTTTTATACATGAATTACTTTCTCTCTTTTATGTTGTCACCGTGTATCGTTTCTATACATGTATTGTAGTGCTGTCCTCTGTCCTCAGTCAATTTATATTAAGATGTAATGGGATCGCCTCCTTCTTCTCATAATTTGTACTGATATTTTCAACATTTCTTCTAAATAAATTTTATATCAAGGTAGATGCACGATTCAACATCAAATTACCTACATTACTTCAAAGTAAGTTAAAATTAAAAATGTAGCGGCAGATAGGTTTGTCGAGTAGATTTTCAAGCATACAGAGAAACTGAACGTTTTCTAAACTTGTTTACGCGGAAGAATCATTCACGACATAATCGCTGAATCCAAAATTGTTTTCTAACAATGCATTCATGAGCGATATAGGACGGAGGCTTCGTCAGCTAAAGATCACCTCACCCTCACCCCCTCACCCTCACCCCCTCACATGCAAACAACCTGTTTTCCTCTGAACGCATTAAAATATGTATTATCAGACGCAGTTTTTCACGTTGATCACCAATCTGATATTGATGCCTTACATAGATCGGCACATGCGTATCACCGCAAACACACTATTTTTGAAGAAAGGATAGTGTATATCGACTTTTATCACTTAATAAAAATATTAATTTGTCCAAAACTGTTTGCGTTATAACTATTGGCTGATATATAAGCGATAAAACTTGAATAAAGGAGAATCTCTATCAGCATTACTAATGCACATACTTTTTCGACAAACTATTTTTAGATTAAATGCACGTTTCTTTTTCAATGTCTATTTTTAAACTAAATTTATGAAGTTTCAAAACGCGTATGTTTTAATCTAAAAAACTGCATTTGATGAATATCGAAAAATTTCTCATTCATAATCCTCAAAATTTGATTCTGAACAACTTTTGTCTCAAAACGTTTCACTCCAGCAAAATTTAAGGTGCGGGCAGTTTTGGGTGCAAGCTCTGAAAAATCGGATAAAAAAGCTTTGTTATTATCAATTCTGGATGTTGCCATTCGGTTCAGAAGAGAAAATTATTTCTGTTCTGAGACGTCTTACCAGTTTTCAGAGAAAACGTTGAATTTCCATCAAAATTTGAGCTCTTCCACATGCAACGAGGACAGAAATTCAATATGAAAGACGACTAGCTCGGATAGAATGGATCCTTGAGGTAATTCATAGGCAATACAACATGTGGAATCGGTGGATTCTCTTTAGAGAGCACGCACGCGAGTTAGACATAACGCAGAAATCTGCTCAATAATAGACTGATGCATCTCATTACACATGAGAAGGGACCAAAGCGTACTTCTCATTGGAGATAAGCATCAATTTCAAAAATCTCGTCAAAAATATCTTTTTTTTATGGAGCGGTCTTTCGCCTTTAATATACCTATATAGTAGCGGAGTCCAGTAAAAACCATTTTTTTTATTGGACTAAATCGATTTAAACTTAAAAATACTCTGAAAATCGAAGCCCTGTAGCACATGCCGTTCAAAAGTTATTTAGAAAATACCCACCGGTAATGTAATTTGAAAAGGAGCGGCGTCTGTACGGCAGCAGCGAATTTAGAAAGTCTTCTGAGAAGGTCAATTTTCCGTAAAAGTTTTCATAGCAAGAGCAAACAAGGCAATACTTTTTCTAGCTCAATTCGCCGAAATAAAATATCATCTCAAGCTCTATGAATCCAAGCTGTTTTGACTCACGAGGGAACCTCTCGAGGTTATAAATCGCTTTTTCATCGAAATCTGGTGGTTATAGGTTATCGACCATGCTGATTCTGAATATGATAATGTGAGCTGCCCATGGTCGTTCGAAGATACGGTTTTCTGAAAAACTAGTTTTCCAGAAACTCTAAAGGGTAACCAAAATCTTTCTTAAGGAGACATAGTTGTAGCCCGCACATTTCTGATTAAAATGGGACCTCTCCCAACTCTACATGACGTTTCTTTGCAAACTTCTAGAATTTACAAGAAAAGCCCTAAATTAATTTCTTTTTTCTGTAGCTCTGAGCATTTAGGGCTTTTCTTGTAAATTCTAGAAGTTTGCAAAGAAAGGGCATGTAGAGCTGGAAGATGTCTCATTTTAACCAGAAACTTGCCAACTACAATTATGTCTTATTAAGAAAGGTTTTGGTTATGTTTTAGAGTTTCTGAAAAACCGAATTTCCCGAAAACCATATCTTCGAACGACCATGGGCAACTTCCATACTCATATTCGGAATCAGCATGGTCGATAACCTATAACCCACCAGATTTCGATCAAAAAGCGATTTATAACCTCGAGAGGTTCCCTCGGCAGACTCCAAAAAAGTGGCTTGCAAAAAATGTCCCAGCAAAAAGGTCAAAAAAGGGAAAAAGTTAGCGCTAGACTAATCAAACCAGAACATATTTGTTTGAAAAATTTGGCATATCTATATGATTAAAGGACTACTTCGAGAATTTACATTTCGAGGTTTCTTGGCGTCCCGAATGCTAAAAATCAGCATTTTATCCCGACCTAGTCCTCTGTCCTCAGCGCACATATCTCATGTTAGCCGTTGCGTTTAAGATCAATGAAAAAAAGCAGAGCTTAATTCGCGCAGTGAAATTATTTTCGGTGTTTTCTTCAGTTATATAAGGCCTTTCTGTCAATGGAGCTAAGATTTATCCAAATAACATAGTGCTAAATTCAAAATTCTATATCAAAACGGGGTAAGGCTTAGCCTGACAGTGCCAAATCTGGGTAAGGCTTAAGCCTTACCCAGCCTAGTGGCTCCACAGTCTCTGTGATAAACATATAACCAAAATGATTATGGTGAATATTTTATACTCTGAACATGCAAGTATTACTTAGTCATTAATGTAGGGAAAGCCGGTAAGCGTCTTAGGATTCCATTTCATACACAACAGGCGTGTTACATGAGAACGTAGGTCTAGGCTAACTTCTTCCTGTCTTGGTCAAATTTATTGTCATCTGGTACTTAAGATTTGAAAACTAATGCTCTTCCTTTTGGCTCATTTAGTTTTTTTAAAATCCTCGAAGTAGGTTTTCCAGAAAATCATGATTTCTGTCTGCACCTACCGGCCGAAGAAATTTTTTTTTAAAAGACTGGTTGACGGTGGAATATTTCTAATTATGTGACTGGATTCAAAAGAAAATGGTCTACATGCCGAAAAAAAACTCGAGTCTTCTATTCAAAGCTTGAATTTTTAAATTAATTTTAAATTCTTAAATTTTAAATATCTCCGCTCTGGTTAGTGCTCAAGACCTCGGGCTAACGCTACTTGACAGGAAATTCAAAGCTAAACAAACTCAGATAGTCGATGACGTCCCAGTATTACATGATCTTGGGTTTCTGAAGAGTTTTCTAGAAACCGTACCCTAATTTTCACGTCGTTTCAATCTTTCTCCTTTCCAAAGTGATAAATTACCTTTTTTAAAAATGACAGTGACAGAAATAAGTACAAGTGAGGCTGGAGAAGACCTTTTATAACTTCTGCTTGTCTAACCACTGATTTCATATCATCAAAATTCATCATCAAGTAACGATGTATTGAAGAATTTGTTTCTTTCACGCTTGCACTCTTCCTATGCCTTCTGTCACTCACACACAGACATACATCTTATGTTCATTGCACAAACAAATGCATCACGCGACATAGACAGAAAGACGAGAGCATCAACATGGGCTGGACAGAACAGAACGAAGAGAGAACGAGAAAACAGGCGGTCCCTCTTCTCCCTCGAACCACTGAAAACCAGGATCATGTAATACCGGGACCTCATCTAATACCTGCGTTTTTTTAGTTTTTTATTTTCTATTGAATGCCGTTTGGTCGAGGTCTCCATCGCTGTCCAGCGTTGAGTTATTCAAATGTTTAAAAAAGTTCAAATTTTAAAATTTAAAATTAAGTTTAAAAATTCAAACTTAGAGTTGGAAACTCGATGTTTTTCAAAATAAAGCGTGTTGTGACCTGGATACGATGGCCGTTCCTAAAAAGTTTCAGATACAAAGGATTTTTCTAAAGCAAGTTATTTTTGTACAAGTAGGCTAAAAAACACAGCTTTCCAGAAACCGTACTTCTAGCGGTTTTGGACCAAGCTTTCCATTAGACAAAAGAAAGAGCATGGTCTGAAACCCTTAAGTACCATGTTTCCGAAAAATCGGATGTACCCTTATCGAGTTAGATTTCTCATGTAACACGCCTACTATTGATCATACACTATTTTCTGATACGCCGCATAATTTCGATTCTGCTATAAGTTGACTAAGCACGTTTATGTATCTGTCCTTGTGCCATCTATAAAACATACAGTAATTTTGATATTACATATTTCTAGATGTATTTTTGTTCAGTAAGAGACATCTGAGACTTGTTCTCTGGAAAAGAGACCTGCAATCTGATCCAAGCTCGACCCGAGCCTAGGGTCGGGTCGGATCGGGTTCGGATCAGAGCCCTGCAGGTTGATCCTAACCTAACCTAACCTAACCTATAGGTTAGGCTAGGATTAGGTTGCAAAAGCTATAGATTAGGTTAGTTTGCAAAAGTTATAGGCTAGGTTAGGTTACAGATTGTTCTATTTTTTTTTCAATGATTAGGATTAGTTGTGAAATTTGTTATAGGTTGCCAAATATTGGCAACCTGCAGGGCTCTGGTTCGGGTTAAGATATTGTAGGCTTGAACATTTTGCAATGTAAAATAGAGATAATAATTTCAATTCTGAATTGGTCGTTGAAAAGTTAACTACACCGAAATTCTTGGCTGAAATACTTACAATCTCAGAACAACTACATTCAGTGACGAGGAAAGGTCGTCAGATGCACAACTCCGTTTTTAATGATACTATGCCAGTTAATAGAGGAAAGTTAGCTGAGAAAAACCCTCAAACGAGGACCCATTCCAGTTCTGTCAAAAGTTATGATTTTTTTGTTCTAAAGAAACACTGTGTGTAGTGACACTGTGTGTAGTTCAATGGCAAGCGAATTCAGAAAGATATATCGCCCAAATTTTCTGGAATATTAGCACACTATTAGCCAAAGGTCACTCGCTTGTAATGCGATACCTTCCGCCAAACAAATAGGTAAGGAATAAATGTGTTTTGATCCTCAAAAAATAAGACTTTTGATGCCCAAATCAATTAAAGATATTTAAATTAAAGAAAATATATACAAGAAGAATATATAGCAATTTGATAGAAAATTGATTGCTAATTAATTAGTGGACAGACAAGAAAAAGAATATAAAGAGAATATATACAAGAAGTGAACATAAATATGAACGGAATATGAAAGAAATATGAAATATGTCAACAGCTGACGGTTTTCGAAATTGTATTGTCAACGATTAAGTTTCTGAAAATTTCGTTGGTTTTGTCAATTCGCAAGAGCTATAAATACCTGCCCTATACCATCGACGATACTATGTTATGAAACTCAATCAAAGGACTCGTATAAACATCAGGAAACTCAGTAATCTATAATTTATCTCGATTGGTTTTAGAATTCTCATAATATCTTATTTTTGTGAAACAGTTATTACTTGCACGTTGAACAACCTTGACGTTAAATGGTACTGATTGATCGCTGTACGTATTTCCAAGTGAGATAGAAAGAAATTTGAAATAAAAATTTATATATCGATAAATGTTTTGTGTCCTCGTCAAGTTATAATGTTATGTCAGTCACATCATTCAAAATGTCATCCAGTAATTTTTTTAAAATATGAAGTCATATTTGAAAGAAAAAACGTTTTCCGTTCCGCCATTCACAGGTTAAAGGAAATATACTCTTGTACAGTTCCCGTTCTTGTTGTTAGTAGTGTGTGCACTCATGCGCGTATAACGTCGAAAATTACGAATAAAATGAAATTCTTTAAAGCAGTTGAAATAGTTATCATATCCAAGGTGTGGCAGAAGTCTTCACCAAGCCATACTTTACGTCAACTTTAGTTCATATTTATTCTTACAGATACGCACAAAACCAGCTTAATTTTTACTGATTAGAAAATAAACAGACTAAATATCTAACAATGAAGTTAATGAAAAAAAGAGGGTGAAATAAACCTGAATCGATCTTTTTCAATTAACAAATATAAACTTAAAATGTCTGTTTTAATATTTGCGAGTATCATGGTTGAAATTGTGCTGGTGGTGTACAGCCGGCTCTGTTGCAGGGCGGTCGCGTGGGATGGGTTCCGTTGTGAGGAGGAAAAGTTCCATTATGTGGTGGAGGTGGAGGTGGTGGTGGAGGATGAAAAGTTCCATTTTGTGGAGGAGGAGGTCTAGGTCCAGAGTCTGGATTTGGTCTGCAGTTGACATAGCAAAATATAACTGCTAATAAAACCTAAAAAAGAAAATTTATTCACAATCTCAGCATATTTTACTTCAATACTTATGTAAAAACATCATCATTAGTCGTTTCTTCCTTTCATTAACAAAAACTCCATTGGAAACTGAGAATCCGATTCTTACGGTTAACAATCACTTCAATCATTGACAATTTGTCCACGCTCTTCGCTTTCTATTAACGTATTTTGGATCAAGGCAATGTTAATTAGAATGTTTACTCTTACAGACTTTTAGTAACATTAAATGTATATTCTCTTACTCTTTACGATTGGCGAAAATTGGTTTAGATATAATTCTGACAAAAATGTCAATGTTCTGAACATCCTTAGATTTTAAACGTTATCTCTTTCACATCTTACATGTAGTCCTGAAAATGTTTACTTACTAGTAATAAATGTGCAGAATTTTTCATCTTGAGTTGGCTACCACTTAAGTCAGTTATCTTACGAGTTTGATCGCTTACTAGCTTACTACAGTATCATATTCTTTATATAGTGCTGTCGTTTGCTTATGTTCATGACTTTTATTTGCCTACAATAATTATCTATTTGGTAATTCGGTGATTCAGCCATCACCTTAATAGACACTATTATCTGATGTACTTTCACCAGAAGGGAACAAGAAAAAAAGTGTCCGATTTAACCTCTCTCGCGTTGAAAGAGAAAGAACAAGAAAAAAAGTATGTTCAGGTATCAGCCTAGTCATCAATCGTTGTCATTCTATAACGTTCTCTTTTAACAGGTTATCATTTACAAGTATCTTCCAATACGCATGACAAATTCCCACCTGTCGGAAAAACGTTTCACAACCCCGCATGATCAAGCGTGGCAAAATCATGCAGAGTTCTGAACAAAAACTTTTCTTTTTTCAGTGAATGAGAACATGTCACGTGTATTGGGACAGAGTAGAGGTCTGTGGGATGGTCCTGATACCGCTGGACTTTTCACGGGACCGAGACCTAGAAAAATCTTTTTTACGGGACTAGGACCGGAACCTAGAGGTCTGCGGAATGGTGCTGATCCCTCAGACCTCATCCATCATGCCTCAACATGGGCAGTTTTACTAGTATTCCTAAAACCTGCAACGTACACTAACGTCACTATATCTTAGAATTGATTTTGAAACGTAAAACGTTTTTCCGACAGGTGAGAACTCGTCGTCCGTATTGAATGATACTTGTAAATGATAACCTGCTAAAAGAGAACGTTACACTTCAGCAAAACCCGTCACTTTCACCATCTCTACAGTTAAAAGTTAACATTTGTTTTCATACTGTATTTTTGCATAAGGATCGTCAGTGGTCTTCTAGAAAACCTTTCAAGGTACATTTTAGTTTTCTGTATTTTTTCTCTGTGATGAGAAGAAACACGTCATACTAAGCTTTTCTGGTAATTTGAAGAAATTTAGTTGATAAAGGCGCTTTAAGCTTTTTATTTTAGTATGGTCGCAGTCAAAAAATCGTATTTTCTGAATGATTCGTCTGCTATAGCTTCCTCAATCCGGACAACAAAACAAACATTGCCACAGTAATTAGCGTGTCCGATAGCCTATGTACCATGTGTTTTTGAGGTTCCCAGCGATCAGATTTGGCCGATAGATAGGCCCTCTGTGATTGTCTGTAGCATCCGAATCATGATACTTGGAGGTGTGTGATACTGGCGCCAGATTGTAGAGTGACATATGCTTCATACTCGAATGTATTTAGAGCAATATGTCGCTATGTAGATTGGAATGACAGGCTCCGAGTCTTTGCTTCGAAACATCCGTGTTTTATATATTTTGAAATGGATAGTAATTATGCACGATTGTGCCTGTCATTCAATTTATGACTTTTGGCTAAAACCCTCTATCTTGCCCTTTTCGAAAAAACTTTGATTTTTATCGCATTTTCTTGCTATTTGTCTTGCTCCTGACGTTCAGGAGTGATTCATCAGCCGCACTTCTAAGGTTGCTGCTTTCCTCTTTGAGATCAGAAAGCGTCGCTCCCTTTCCGCCGCGCGAAGGCCACTTTGATTGGAAAGATCTTTCTGGGTTATTTTTTGAATTTTTATTTCTAGTCAAACAAAAAGTAGAGACAAAAAACAGTAAGAGAGTTCTTTGAACTGACGCAGACGATGAAAACAAAGTCGAATCACGTATAAAACAAAGCAGAAAATTGAAAAAAGCTGCCGAGTGTGATGAGCTAGCTACAAAATCCACTGTGGCCGATTATATAATGATGCGTAGTTTTTCTTACCAACTAGCCACACTCTACTCTTATACTGTATCTGGAAGCAAAATACAATAGTTCAAAACGCCATCTAGCTATTCTTGTGTTACACACACGCAAGCTAAAAGACATTCACATTTGGTTCCACATATGAAAAGTTATTACACTACTACTGCTTCTCTTTTTTCAATACGAGTATCTGTGACCTGTTTTCTTCTTCTGTTCCGTACAATTTTTTCTTCTTTCTTTTTCTTTTTCTTTTCTCTTGTTAAGTATTTCTCTCTTCCTCTCTCTCTCTCTCTCTCTCTCTCGTTTTTGAGCATTTGTCTCTTCGTTACGCAATCGCAAAATGTTGTAATGCGCTGACCTTATTTTCTCTCTCTTTCTATGAGTATATGTAGAAAAAATATACGATTAGTAGTTAAATACACCGCTGTGGTAGTATAGAACTGACACTAAACTCTATTCTGTAAAAAAAAAAGAGGAATAGAACATTTCTGTTCACTTGTTGTCATCCATATTTCATTTTTTTACTACACGTTTTTTTTCTTACAGCTAAATATTTCTTTTCTCACACATAATCAATAAAGATTCAAGGTCTGGTCTACGTGTTCAAGATCAGTTGTAAAATTCCAGAGAAGTTATATCTTTGTCCATGTCACTAATCGAACAAGTCATAACATTGCCGTCCAATGACGATACTGGTAAATTTATTAAAGCTGCAGGTTATTTTCTACACAATTTGCATTGTATATATTTAGATTCTACGACATTTTTTGCATTACCAAATGAATTATTTGAATGCATATTTATCTATTTGTCGTCAACCGATCTGGTATATTCCTTTTTGAATATCTCACATCCTCGTCTAAACGCTCTCATCTACCGTTTCATATCGCGAATAAATTTATCAAATGCATCAAATCAATGGTTAGTAGAATATCTGCCACATATTCAATCAATGATTACGGCTATGCAATTAAATGACTACCAACTTGATACAATCTTTCCCGAAATATCATTCGATAAATATCCCAAACTTCAATGTGTTCATGTGTACAATATACCTAATAATAATGTTAAATGTTTATCGTATATATCTCTATTTAAAACACGATTATCATCATTAAAAATAGTTATGGAAAATGCTTCTTCTGAAGTATCAGATCATTCGTATTTAACACTATTACAACCTGAAAATTGTTCATTAGAAATATTATCGCTTTCTAATTTATTGTTAGACATTTATCACTATCATATTCGTCCATTAATGATTAAACAATTGACAGTGCTTAATTTATGCCGTTTACATGATTTATTCCTATTATTTGAACATTTACCATTTATCGAATATGTGAAAATTGGTGTATGTGAATTGAATAATCCAGAAGAAGTTTATAATTACGATAATATAATAAGCAGTACATCATTATCAAAACAACTACATACAATCGATCTTCATATATCCCATCATTGTGATGAATATACATACAAATATCTTGAATTATTAATTCTACGATTTTTTATCTCATTAAAATATTTAACATTGGATATTGTACTCATCGGTCTATTAGATGTTAATCGATTAGAGAAATTTTTTAAATTAAAACAATTTCAATTTCGTATACAAATGATTTCATCATCATATTTTTGTCCTCTTAATATGGCAACATTTCCAACCTATTCACATGTAATCTGTTACTCTAATTCTCAGGATAATATTCAAACATTACTATCTTTACCTAATGTATTTGATCTTTTTGATCAAGTATCGAATAATATTATCAATTATCGTTCAAATATAAATAATCTTATAAGATTAACAAGAGTAAAACAAATTAAATTATACGATACGAAATGTTATACAATACAATTTTTTAAATTTATTAAACAAACATTTCCAAATGTTATTACATTAGAATTCTTTCACTATTGTTATCTAGCTGATGATCTAATCAATGATAATAATATAACAATAGATTCAATTCGTTCCTTGTATATTCATGCATCACCCGACTATCGTAGAATTAAACGTCTTTTATTATTGACACCTAATATAAAAAATCTCTCAGCTTCTTATCAGACATTATTAAAATTAAAAAATGGTTTACAAGATGAAGATTATTTATTACAACAAATATGTCAACAAATAGTCATTTTACGTATTCATTCGATGAATAAAGGTGATGAAATGAAAAGTGTATTTATAAATGCTACAATTATTTAATTATAGAAAAACTATCATATTAAAAAATTATTCAGTTGTCTATAATTCATATTTAATATTATCATAAAGTTCGAAGTCATCATTTTTTTAGCTTTTTGTAGCCTCTCTATTCTGTTTTAATTCGACTTGAATTTTGCATCAATCTTTCAGTATTAAAATTTGTTATTATTAACCTTTATTTCGGTACACTTTTCTATCCGATAATTTGTGCTTCCCAGAGTAATATGTTTCTAATATCCACATAGTACCCCGTTAGTGAGTGCTAACTGTATATTTCTATTGATACATACACAAGATTTTTAGTAAACATTCTTAATGCTTTCGTTCTGAACTTTATTTTTTTAATTTTTAATTTCTTGTCTTCTTTATTAAATTAAATGACGAAGTGAGAATATATTCACAAAACAAGAAAAAAAAAATTCAGTTAAACTGTCTGCCATACTATCAGAGAAGCAGTTTTTACATGTATGAATCTTTCGTTAGTAAAATCATACGGCTGTTTTATTCGCGGTAATATACTGAAAAATAAACAATGAAAAAATACTACGATATTATGTCTCTTTGTACCAAATTCTGGCCAGCGGCTTGTCCAGCTAACGGTCGCCTGTTTTCGCTCGTTTACAAAGAACTATGGCAATAAAGTTAGAAAATAGTCTAAAATTGCAACTAGATAATTAAATAGATTAAACATTTTTCTACAAAATGAAAAGTGTCTTGGCTGTGAATGTTGATTCGTTATGGAAGTACAGCTTTGTATAAACAGCTCCAAAAATCGATTTTGGAGCTATCTGAAAAACGTGTGTAAAAGAGTGAAGACAAGCTGGCGAAAACTAAACAAGTATACCAGTTTGGAGAAAATTGTTTGGTCTACAAGATGTGGTGGCTTTTTAAGTTCGAAACTATTCTAATTAATCTGTATTAATCAAAGAAACACCAGAAAAACCGTGACGCCGTGACAAAAAACGGTCAAAAGTGTCACGCCGTCACGGTTTTTCTTTGATTAATACAGATTAATTGGAATAGTTTCAAACTTGAC